GGCTAGGCCCACTTGATCCAGTCTTTACGGCTCGGCCCCCACTGGGCCTTGTCTTGGTTGAAATATTGATCCTATATCCTCTCTTTCAGACACTTAGCCGTTTTTCGGGCAGCTAAACTTGTCGGAAAAAAACTGACCCTAACAATTAGCCCCCCAGCTCGTCAGTTTTGGAGACGAAGATGGCAAACGGAGAGTTCCTAGGTCAAAGTTAGCTGCTTCCGAGCCGAGCTGTAAGAAAGACAAGGCCACCACATTTATGCCGAACCGCAAAGTGGATGAGATTGTCTCTTTTAGTGCCGAAGTGTATTTTAAACCAAGGTATTTTGCGAGACGTTTTTGCGATAGGTTGCACCGAGGCATTTGTGAAAGACAGTGTCGAGGTGCCAAAGCATGTTCTTCCGAGGCGTTCCAACACCGAGGCATTCCATGAAGGGTTTGATACCGAGGTGTTCACCACCGAGCTGGTTGATCATCGAGGTTTTCTTTGAAGGTTTGATACCAGGGTGCTCTTGAAGCAAGATAGCGCCTCGGCATGTTTTCCGGAAGCTAAGGTTGGTGCTGAGGCATTTATGAAGAAGATAACGCCGAGGTGTGCAAGAATTGAATAACACAGAGGCGTTTACTTGCTAAAGATGATCCGAAGCGTGTATCAAGATGGTAACATGTGTGAGATGAATAACGCCGAAGAATTTTCCCTAAGAAAATAACGCTAAGGCGTGCAATTGAATAATAATGCCGATGCGTGTGTAGAAAGATTAACGCCGAGGCACTTACCTAGGAGATAACGCCGAGGCGTGTGTAGAAAGATTAACGACGAGGCGCTTACGTAGGAGATAACGCCGAGGCGTGTGTAGAAAGATTAACGCCAAGGCGCTTACCTACGAGATAACGCTGAGGCATGTGTAGAAAGATTAACGCTGAGGCAATTTCCTGGGAGATAACGCCGAGGCGTGTGTTATTGTTCCTAGTGCTTTGTTTTAGTGAGAATTTCCAGTCCTTATTGTGAGAATTTCCAGCCCGAGACACGTGAGCGGAATGAGTTTTGCGATGATTCGTTTCCAAATAAGTAACTGTTGCAGACTCCACACACCGTAATTGATATTTTGCTATTTCATGAGGCTCACGCAGACCCCACTGATAACACCTGATTTTGATCATTTTTATGGATCATTTTCAATATCTTATGCAGGTGTTTTCACTCAGTTTTAAATGTTTTATAAGTATTTTCCATGTTTTGGAGTTTTAAAAAACTTTTCAGGAAACTTGGATTTTTGGAGTGCATTTTGGAGCAAAAGTACATTTTTGGATAAATTCAGGCCATCAGAATTTTGGTAACCAAAGAAGACCTTTTCACCGTCCGATCATCCCTAAAATTGACGAAATTATAGAGGAAACAACCAGCTTTCCAACACACTTGGAATCAATGCAATCCAAAGGTTAGATCTCCAGATATCATCAATGCACTGAAGGTCAATCAACACAGTCTGGGAAGGGACATAAGCTTGCACCCGCGGAAAAGCTTCTCCCCACCGTGGCTCAGCCCCCTTCACCCGCGGTGGACCTCTGTCTGAAGCCTTAGAAGCCCAACTAAGGCCCAAGACACTTTTTGCACTCATTCTGAAAGCCCTAGACGCCCAGAAGAGAGGAAACACTATAAACACTATAATTTATGCACTCATTTTTAGGTCTTATGTAACCAAGTCTCTTTCATCTCTTTGAGTGAGAACTTCATCTTAGTTTTAGGTTTTACTTTTATGCAATTGTAGATGCTTTTCATCGCCAATACTGTCTTCAATCAGAGAAGTTTTTCTGCATCCTTTTGATACGATCCTCCCAAGGATTTGCACTTGCTTGATTGGTAGGGGTTGATAAACTCGGCCAGATCGGTTCGATCGGAGAGATGCTAAGGGGTGAGGGTTGCTTCGAAGGTCCTTAGGCCCAACTCGCGAGAAAACTGAAACCGAACAAGGGATGAAAACACCAAGTGTAGATCTCGCGGGTAAAGGATGAACAGGCGTGAGACTTGATCTCGAAAATCCTGTTGCCCCTAAACTAAGTTGAACGAAATCGAAAACAAGATGTGAGGAAGGCTGCGTCGAATCCTATGGATTGAATCCGATAAACCAGAATGAAACTTTCAAGGCTAACCACCTAAGAAAGGAAAAACTCAAAAAAGAACAAGAGAAAATCTCGAATATATTGATAAAAGTGAATGAGAAAGGACAAGGGGTTCTGGCTCTTTATATAAAGTCTCATAAGAAGTGCAAAAGACAAAAATAATAAATAGATACATTGAATACGATAATGGACCACTCGGCTCCCTTGGAGGACCGTTTGACTTCTCTCGCGCGAATGGTCTTTCAACTTCTTGTAACGACTATTAACCAATTCAGATAAGGAAAAGATGTGGGCCTTAACCTCATTAAAATCCCATCCGGTAAACCCAGTGGGACAAACCCGTATGCAAGGAAAAATAGTATCAAGGGGCCACACCGTCCGAATAGGCTAAAAGTGTTACAGCTCGGTCGTTTAGTGTAGCATCCGTGAACTTGGCCATCAGCTCGGTGTATAACCTCCAAATGACCATGGAAAGCTTCTTAGCTCGGGACCGTGTAATTGGACCAGTGAGCTCGGTCAAATCCGGACTTGGGTCGTTCACCTCGGCTAACTTTCCTTCCTGAACCTCCATCTCGCTTAGCTCGGCCACTTGGTCATGATTTCCGGTCTGGACTAGTTCTCCGGCCTGTCCCTCAGTTCGCACCTCGTCCATGCTCGTATCATTCCCCCCCTCTTGAAAAGGACTTGTCCTGAAGTCTGGTCCATCTGGAAGAAAGGGAACTAAGTCAGAAACATTAAAGCTTGAGCTGACCGTATACTTACCTCGGAGGTCGATCTGGTAGGCTTTGTCATTGATGCGGTTTAAAACTGTGAATGGTCCATCGACTCGGGGTAAAAGCTTGGACTTCCGTTCCTCAGGAAATCTTTCCTTCCTTAGATAGATCCAAACTTGGTCGCCGGGCTAAAACGTTCTTTTGCTCCTTCCTTTGTTTGCTTTTCTTTGAAATTGCTCGGTTTTCCTTTGAATGTTTTCCTTGGCTTTCTCGTGCATCTGTTTGACCAGTTCGGCCTTTTTCTTACCATCTAGATTAAGTCTTTCACTCATAGGCAAAGGGGTTAGATCAAGTGGAGTAAGCGGATTAAACCCATACACAAGTTGAAAAGGGGAAAACATGGTAGTGGAATGAACCGAATGATTATAAGCAAATTCAACGTGTGGCAAGAAATCTTCCCAAGTTCTAAGATTCTTTTTAATCACAGATCGTAGCAAAGCTGATAAGGTTCGGTTAACTACTTCAGTTTTTCCATCAGTTTGAAGGTGACAAGTAGTTGAGAAACAAAGTCTAGTTCCTAGTTTTGACCATAAGGTTTTCCAAAAGTAACTAAGGAATTTAGTGTCCCGATCTGAAACAATGGTTCTAGGAACCCCATGTAATCGGACAATCTCCCTAAAGAACAGGTCGGCAACATTGGATGCATCATCGGTCTTATGGCATGGAATGAAATGAGCCATTTCAGAAAACCTATCTACAACCACAAAGACCGAATCTCTACCTCTCCTAGTGCGGGGCAATCCTAACACAAAGTCCATTGAAATGTCTGTCCAAGGTTCACTAGGGATTGGAAGGGGAGTGTACATACCTGGGCCTTGGCTTCGGGTTTTGGCCATCTTGCAGACCGTACATCGGCTACAAATTCGCTCCACATCGCGTCTTAGATGCGGCCAGAAGAAGTGGTCTTGCACCACACTTAGAGTCTTAGCTACTCCGAAATGCCCCATCAGTCCTCCTCCATGTGCTTCCCTAACAAGTAAATCACGAAGAGATGTGTTAGGTATGCATAACCGATTTTCATAGAAAAGATAGCCATCACTTTGGTAGTATTTGCCATGGGCAAATTTGGAACTGGCTTGGTAGACTTCCTAAAAGTCTGGATCAGTGATGTATGCTTCCTTCATTAGTTCGAACCCCAACACCTTTGCGTCCAAAGTGGAAATCAAGGTGTATCGTCGAGACAAGGCGTCGGCCACCACATTCTCTTTGCCTTGCTTGTATTGAATGACATAGGGAAAGGTTTCGATGAATTCCATCCATCTGGCATGCCTCTTGTTAAGCTTCTGTTGCCCCTTTAAATGTTTGAGCGATTGGTGATCCGTGTGAATGACGAACTCCTTCGGCCACAAATAGTGCTGCCAAGTCTGTAGGGCGCGAACCAGGGCGTACAGCTCTTTGTCGTAAGTCGGGTAGTTCAAATTTGCCCCGCCTAACTTCTCACTAAAGAAGGCCACTGGTTTCTTCTCTTGCATCAGCACGGCTCCAATTCCAACTCCTGAGGCATCGCACTCGATCTGAAATGTCTTGAGAAAGTCAGGTAGCACCAGTAAGGGCGCATGGGTTAGCTTGTGTTTCAAGAGCTGAAAGGCTTCCTCCTGAGGTTGCTCCCATTTGAACCCGACCTCCTTTTTAATGATCTCGGTCAAAGGCGCGGCTATCGTGCTGAAGTTTTGGACAAAACGACGATAGAACCCAGCTAGTCCATGGAAGCTCCGAACTTCACCAACTGTCTTTGGGCTCGGCCAATCCTGGATCGCTTTGATCTTTTCTTCATCGACCTGGATTCCCTGCGAACTCACAAAAAAACCTAAAAAGACAACGTGATCCGCACAAAAAGTACACTTCTTGAGGTTTCCAAAGAGACGTTCATGCCTAAGCACATCTAACACCTTTTTCAAATGCATCACATGCTCATCTAAGGTCTTGCTGTAAATCAAAATATCATCGAAGTAAACTACCACGAAAATACCTATAAATGACCTAAGAACGTGATTCATCAATCGCATGAAAGTGCTAGGTGCATTAGTGAGTCCAAAAGGCATAACGAGCCACTCATAAAGACCATGCTTAGTTTTGAAAGCCGTTTTCCATTCATCACCTTCTTTCATCCTAATCTGGTGATAGCCACTTTTTAAATCGACTTTAGAAAATATGCATGCACCATGAAGCTCATCTAACATATCGTCTAGCCTAGGTATAGGATGGCGATACTTAACCGTTATGTTGTTGATGGCTCGGCAGTCAACACACATCCTCCAAGTTCCATCCTTCTTGGGCACGAGTAAGACCGGCACAGCACATGGACTCATGCTCTCGCGAATGTAACCCTTGGTCAGAAGTTCATCCACCTGTCTTTGAAGCTCCTTGGTTTCAACTGGATTAGTGCGGTAGGCAGGTCGGTTAGGGAGGGTGGCTCCGGGCACAAAGTCAATTTGGTGTTCAATGCCTCGGATGGGAGGTAAGCCACCTGGGTCGTCTTCCGGAAAGACATCAGAAAAATCCTGCAAAACATGAGAAATTCTGCTCGGTAAAACCGGCTCGGGGTCAGTATGGCTAGCCAAAGCTTCTTTAAAAATGAGAAGGACAAAGGTTTGCTTTGTAACCATGGCGTATTTCACCTCGCTAGGCCTCACAAGAAAAGAATCTTTGCTCACGGGATTTCCCTCACAGGCCATTTCTAGGTTTTTCTCAGACTCTCTCTTTTGAAGTGAAGTGTTTTGGGATTCGCTCATAATGCCTTTACCCTTAGAGTTCTGCTCCAGCTTAACTTGATCGAGATAGACTTCATGTGGTGACAAGGGTGCTAAGACGATCTTGCGACCTTGGTGCTCAAAGGAATGCTTGTTTGAGAACCCATCATAGATCGCCTTCTTGTCAAACTGCCACGGCCGTCCTAGAAGTAAATGACCGGCCTCCATAGGTAAAACGTCGCAAATGACCTCGTCCTCATATCGCCCAATGGTAATTGGAACAGTGACCTGTTTAGTGACCTTGAGTTGCCGCTGGTTGTTAAGCCACCATAGGTTATAAGGATGAGGGTGTTTACGGGTCTCCAAACCCAGCTTGACAATCATGCTAGTGCTAGCCACATTGGTTCAACTCCCTCCATCAATTATCAGGCTACACACCTTTCCTTGGACCAAGCATCGGGTGTGGAACAAGTTTTCCCTCTGATCTTCCTCCTTGATCCGTTCTTGTGCTATGAGCACACGCCGAGCTACAAGTAATTCTCCAGACACAGCTCGCTCCTAGGTCTCTTCATCATCGTAGACCGGCTTGGTTTCCCCCTCGTGATCGGATATGATCTCTCCGGTGTCGAGCAAAAGCATAGCCCGCTGGTTTGGACACTTATTGGCATAGTGTCCCTTTCCCCGACACTTGAAGCACTCGATGTCTCGCATCCTGGATAAGCTGGCCTCGGCCTTGCCTGTGTTCTGGTTCGGCTTTGAGTCCGTCCTCAGTTGATTGTTAGATCGTGAGGGGTAGGTTACCTTATCGTCTCGGTAGTTTGGCCGCGAACTGGCTCCAGGGGTAAATCGATTAGTTCCCTTTCGTTTGAGTTGTTGCTCCACCAAAATCGCCTTGTGTAGCATCTCGGCCATATCGTTATACTCCTGAAGCTCCATTCGGTCCTGCAAATCTCGATTCAGGCCACTTAGAAATCTGGCCATGGTCGCATCCTCTGGCTCGAATACGTCGGCCTTGAGCATTAAACGCTCCATTTCCTGATGGTAGTCCTCCACGGACTTAGTTCATTGCGTGAGCCTCCTAAGCTTGGTATGTAACTCCCGGTGGTAGTGGGAAGGTACGAACCGTTGCCGCATAAGAGTGGCCATCTCGTCCCAAGTTTCCACTGGCCATTCTCCGTTTCTATGTCGGCTGATCATGATCTGGTCCCACCAGTCTATGGCATAGCCATTGAACTCGGAGGCCGCCAAGTTGATCTTCTTCCTCTCCGACAGATCCTGGCAATTGAACACAATATCCACCTTCTTTTCCCATTCCAGGAATGCATCTGGGTCATTCTTTCTGTAGAAAGGTGGAATCCGCAGCTTCATGCCTCCTAGATCATTATCATTACGTCCTCGAGCCTGTTCGGCTTCTCTTTGTTCATGGATGGGTCGCTGAGGTCGTCCTCCTTCACGTCGAAAGTTTTGGCCTGGGAAATTGTTGCCTCGGTCGCGGTCTCCTCCAGCTCGGCCTCGGTGTGCACCACGGGTACCTTGCGGCCTGACTCGGCTACTTCCGGATGAATGATTATCCGCGTAGAAGGGATTGTCCATCTCCTGCTCAAAGTTCCGATCTCGGCGTGTGTGCATCGGTTCCTCGCGGTTTTGGTTATTGGTCTCTTCTTGTCTGGGCTGAACTTCAAGCCGATCCATCCTTTGGCTCATACGCTCCATCATCTCAGTGATTTGATTAAGTTTGGCCTCCATTTCTCTGGGAGTATACCAGCGAACGTGATTTCCTTCTTTGAACGTGTAGAACTCGCACTCGTCCAATGAAAATTCAGATGACATGCACGTACCTCGCAAAAAGAACAAATGCGTTAGTAAAATTCCTTTCTAGTGTTTCTCTCTTTGATTCACTCACTCTCTTATTAATCTCACAAGCCCACAAAAGATTTTCTTCCGGTTCTAAAGGAGTTAATCGATTCACGATGACTGCCTCTAGGTTCCTTTGGTTTATCAAATGTTTGAAGGAGAAGAATAAGGATAGATAGATAGAAAAGAATACGATTTCCTCTTTTTTTTGACTTTTGAAATTCTTTTTTTTTTTTAAGAGACATTTCAACTTTTTTTTTTTTATAACGGAAATAACAGAAGAAAAGGGATGAGAAAAGGCGGAAGTTAAAGAGATAGATTGACACTACCGAGTAAGCAAGTGGGCTCTGATACCACTTGATACGATCCTCCCAAGGATTTGCACTTGCTTGATAGGTAGGGGTTGATAAACTCGGCCAGATCGGTTCGATCGGAGAGATGCTAAGGGGTGAGGGTTGCCTCGAAGGTCCTTAGGCCCAACTCGCAAGAAAACTGAAACTGAACAAGGGATGAAAATACCACGTGTAGATCTCGCGGGTAAAGGATGAACAGGCGTGAGACTTGATCTCGAAAATCCTGTTGCCCCTAAACTAAGTTGAACGAAATCGAAAACAAGATGTAAGGAAGGCTGCGTCGAATCCTATGGATTGAATCCGATAAACCAGAATGAAACTTTCAAGGCTAACCACCTAAGAAAAGAAAAACTCAAAAAAGAACAAGAGAAAATCTCGAATATATTGATAAAAGTGAATGAGAAAGGACAAGGGGTTCTGGCTCTTTATATAGAGTCTCATAAGAAGTGCAAAAGATAAAAATAATAAATAGATACATTGAATACGATAATGGACCACTCGGCTCCCTTGGAGGACCGTTTGACTTCTCTTGCGCGAATGGTCTTTCAACTTCTTGTAACGACTATTAACCAATTCGGATAAGGAAAAGATGTGGGCCTTAACCTCATTAAAACCCCATCCGGTAAACCCAGTGGGACAAACCCGGATGCAAGGAAAAAGAGTATCAAGGGGCCACACCGTCCGAATAGGCTAAAAGTGTTACAGCTCGGTCGTTTAGTGTAGCATCCGTGAACTTGGCCATCAGCTCGGTGTATAACCTCCAAATGACCATGGAAAGCTTCTTAGCTCGGGACCGTGTAATTGGATCAGTGAGCTCGGTCAAATCCGGACTTGGGTCGTTCACCTCGGCTAACTTTCCTTCCTGAACCTCCATCTCGCTTAGCTCGGACACTTGGTCGTGATTTCCGGTCTGGACTAGTTCTCCGGCCTGTCCCTCAGTTCGCACCTCGTTCATGCTCGTATCACCTTTGTTTCTTTACTTTATTGTTTTTTCATTCTTAAACCAATGATGATGTCAAACTCAGCCATGTCTGAGTAGTCACCTTGTTGGGTGAAGGGACCATCAAAGGGGATCCCATATGTTCAAATGACGTCTAGGTTTTTTATGTTAAATTTTTTTAGTTTTTTTTATGATTTTCTTATTCATCGCAATCTCAAAGCGGTTTTCTGGATTGATCACCCAGAGTCCGATCCAAGGTTGAATCTAAGCCAGGGTTACTAAACTGGATCTTATGAACGTCCCTATTGTAGGAGACGAAATCTACATACGGAGGTTATGTAAGCCGAGATGAATTCCGATCTGAAATGCATGATCTTTTTCCGGCATGAGAGCGATAGTTAATTGCTGAGATTAAGTGATTAGATGATTAGGATGACGAGAGTTGGCTAATCTTATAAGTGTTTATCCTAGTTTCAGAATCATAGAAAATCCTTACCTATATTTCCTGTGTCATAGATCATGAACCCTAGAGAGAAATCCTAAATCCAGCGCCGTTTTTCATATAATTTTCACTCAATTTTTCAAGCTTTTTAATTTCCTGCTTAGTTATTTAGATTTAGTGACAACCAAAACCCCCTTTTAATCTGATTAGGTCTACAATTGATTTTAGCATCAGTTAGGAGTCCTCAACACACAAATCCCTGTGAATTCGATTCCTAAGTACTACTGCGTTTGCTGTGCACCTGCAGCTTTGTTTAAGGTAAAATTTGTAGTTGCCCACTGCACCCACATCTCGAATAAAGCGAAGCGCTGGATTATCAGTTGCATCGCGAGCAAGGATAGCTTCTGGACCGAACGCTTCTTCTATGTCTTGGTGAACGAGGCATCTGTAGGCGATGATTACGTCCACATGACCAAGACAGACAGGGGACCAGTTGGTAGCCGACCTGAAGCTTTGCCTCGGCTCGGAAAATTCATGCTTTTGCTTTGGTTTTTGACTTATATTTTTTTGTTTCTTTTTTTGCAGTTCAGAGCATTCCCCCACAGGTTCCTGACGATTTGTTTATTGTTCAAGATGCTCTAGCCTCCATACGGTTTATCTGGAAATGCGACTTTTCACTTGAAAGAGTTGAGAAGGCTCGATCTATACTAACCAGGGTTCCAGTTAGTTCGGGATCGTCAAATTCTTTAGGAAACACACAGGAAAAGATGGTTATTGTGACCCTTAGGGATAAGAAGAGGCGAGAAGCCGATGAGGTTGCTAGACGAGCCGCTGAGGCTGATAAGCAAGGGGATGAAGAAATGGCTCGGGAGGATCCACCAAACCCCGAAAGGGCGAAAGACGAGGTCCTAGATACCGGTGCGGATAACGTCGAGGAGAGGGCTGCCGAGGAGAGAGCTGCTGAAGAAAAATCTGCCAAGGTGGTGCCAGGAGAAATTGTTCCCAAGGCGTAGAACGAAAATTCGGGAGCTCGGAGCCATCAAACACCGACCGCCTCGGCAATTCTTGCTCTCCCTCAATCGTTGAGGCCTCCTGCTTCTACCCTTCTGAAAAACGACTCTGGTCGCAAGCGGCCTGCAGTGGATAAAGGCAAAGGAGTTGCCATCTGTAAGGACAAGCCGTCTAAGAATGCGGTGGACGAGTCGTCTTTGCGTAAATTGTTGGTCGATGATGCAACCGCTTCGGCAACTTCGTTTTCAAGAGTCAACAATTCTAACATCCGATTTACACCTCCTGAGAAGTTGATGAGGGAAAAGTTATACGCGGTGATGGCTCAGCACGACATTAAGGTATATTTTTTTGTTTTGTTTTGTACTCGTTTTTGGCTAAGTAATAACAAGGATTTTTTCATAGTTCGTTGCAGCTATCAATGAGCTGATGACCGACTATGAGTCAGACGTATGCAAGGAGGAGCGTCGCTTAGACGAGGCACGGAATGAGGTGACGGCGGCTAAGGGCAAGCTGGACGAGGTGATAGCTCGGATTAATGTGCTGGAAGAGGAGAAGATAGCTCTCCGCGTCGACTTTGACAAGGCCGCCACTACGGCTGCTCGTCTCGAGGAGGTCCGGAGAAAGAAAAGCGCCGAGATTGCTTCACTGAAGAGATGTATCAAGGCTAAGGATGCTTTGCTTGAGGCCCAAGTGAAGCGAGCTTGCAAAGAGGCAAGGTGTGAGGCAATGCTCAAGTACCAGGAGCATCTTTCGAAGGTAGAAGAGGCCATAAAAAAGCTTCTGA